GCTTGATTATAGTTCCATAATGCCAATGAACTACCTTCAACAATACAAAGATACTGTATCCTTCTTGATATTTCCTCTGGTATGACAACGACCCAAAGCAGCAGTGAGAGAACTCCTCTCTACCTTTATACTTCTACATACACATCTCCGAATTGAAGCGCTGCCACACACTGCCGCAACAGTTCCGTTGCAAGACAAGCGGCAAATAAAACCAATGAACTACCTACAAAAATACAAGGATACTGTGTCCTTCTTGACATTTCCTCTGAGATGACAACGACCCAAACCAGCGGTGAGACAACTCGCCGTTTCGGGGTATCTTTACTCATACATCTCCGGATTGAAGCGCTGCCACACTCTGCCGCGATAGTTCTCTTGAAAAGCAAGCGGTAAATAAACGTGACAAGGTCGGCTTCGACCTCTAGCTTAATTAGTGAGTTAACTACAGCCCCAGGCAAAACATTATTAAAAGTCCCCTCGATATCAAGGGAGAAACCGGTCGCGAATTCCTTCTGCGAAAAGGTTTGCTCGGTACTGTCAACGACCGTGTGTAGGGCCGTTTCAATAGATCTGCCCTTGCAGTAGGCATGCTGATCCAAGGAAAGACGATGCCTGAGGATCCCGCTTCTTAAGTGCAGATTGATCAGCGTCTTCAAAATAAACGAGCAGAGACTTATAGGCCTGAAGTCCCTAGATGAACACAACTCTGACCACTTTCCAAGGCCCCGGAACATTACCCCTAGCCAAACATATCTGGAATATAGGCATGAACCAGCCGCACTACACTTCCGCAGACTTCTTCAGTTCAGTATTATGCCGTCTGGGCCTGGGGCCTTAAATGGATCGAAAGAGTTCGAAAGGGCTAATGGCCCAAAGAAGGCGATTTTCGGTCAGGATTTCCGCCACGTTCGTTTCGGGGCTAGTAGCCTCTAAACGGATCCTTCCCGGATCCGGGTTTTACGCCAAGTGAGCATCGAGGAGCATCCGAAGATACTCCTCGCTGCTTATCGCCTAGATACCGCTCTCGTCCTTGATGTATCACAGGGGAGCGGGACTCTCAGAGAGAACTCGCCTAAATCTCAAACACTCATGACTGCCCTCCACCCGTTCGCATAAGAGTCTCCACAAAATTTGCATCGATTTCATAATCTCGGATTCTTATATGGCCCAAGTCCACTGATTTACTTGGCGTTGTTGAAAATGCTTCTGCTAGAGGCCCTAAGTTTGGAAAGCTCCTCCGATCACCAGAGCGGTTCCTGCTTTTGTGGTGACTCTGGGGACGAGATATTTCAATGGCTCTTTTGGATTTTTAATTTTATCTCCCATTTGATATCAAGATATTTGGTTATCAAGAAGTATCTCTCGGAAGTAGGTATAGATTTTTCGTACCTTCATGGTGAAAGATATGATGGAGCTCCATTAGCGATTAGTGATGAGCTCCACGGAGCTCAAGCGTACATATTTAAATACCATAGGATTTTCCCATTGCCGCTTATGTGCACTATTTTAACTCAGCCGTGAATGTAGCTTGTGATGTAGCTGGCACAATAACGCATGAAATTTGCGGAAAATGCTATGCAGGAGTTTCAAGAGATTCAACAAAATGTAAAAAGTATTTTTTTACGAAATTTTCGAAAATTTGAGCGAAGTATGCACCACATATCAACAAACGCCGTGTACTTTTATATCGTGCGACTATCTGCATAGGCGATTCTCATTCAATAATTTGCTGCTTATGCTTATAATAACCATTTGCCATGATCAATGATAAAGCTATCATTAGCGTCCTGCGTCGCTAGCCAAGAAAAAAAAAAACCAGCGACGGAAATAGAAAAAAAAATGTGATTATAATACTTTCGGCTTTTAGCTACATATACATTTGCACTGGATTCACCAACAGCGGATGGCCGAATCAACAATACAAATATTAGTGCCTGCAAGTAAGCGGAAACTCATTTCTTCCATTCAAATGTTTGTTGATTTACCTGATTCATGACGGCTGCTATTGCTAATACAGCCAGCTGTTAAGCGAATTAGTACACATTCGTTATTAGCTATAGCATTTTGTCTTTCCTTTGCTCCAATGAGCCGATTAATGCTGAATATGCATGCGATTGTCGAAGGTCTTTCGCTTACAACATTTCAATTGACGTCAACTTCCTTTGGTAGGGGAAAACGATTGGATTGCGCGAATTGCCAAAGATTCAATTTCAAGGTGAACTGTATTAATCTTTTGCGATTGGACACAGTTAAATGCTCGCATTGTTGAAACTTTTAATTAACGGTGTCAGTTTTGTATAAAGCTTACTACCAGAAATAACGCATAGAGGTCACTTTAGTGCAGCAACCAACAAAAATTAAAAATTAAAAAGTTTTTTATTTTAGTGCATTGCATTCTTTTTTTTTTTAAATATTGCTTGTTGGAAAAGACACTAGGTTCCAGGCAGAGAGACGCCTGGCAATAAAGTAACGCACTCTGTCTCTTTCTAGTATTCTTAGCAGGTGTTCATACGTCAGCTATAAATCACCGAAGACAGACTTCGCCCACGTTGGGCGCCAATTTGTCACCTTACTTTTTGTCTCGCAAACAACCCACCAGCCTAATGTACCAAATGCACTTGAAGTGCCCAACAACAACGTAAAGGCCTAATACGGGTAAACAAATGCAAGCACAAAAAGGAAATGACAAAATATTTGCAACCGGATGACTCGGTGGAGACGGCGGGTTGCTGGTGGAGAAGTCAACAAGACTATGCTATACAATAAAATGATTGAAATTAGGATATGCGACGACAACAATTATACAACTACCAAACAAAGTACCAAATAAATGTTTGCCGAAATACAAAAAAAGGAATATTTCCCTAACAATAACACCAAAATCAAAACCTTGTTTTGAGGTGTATCCGAGGTGAGGTCTATCCTAAATTTTACGAACCCCGAAAGGAAAATCAAAAGAAAATTTTGTTGTGGCCAGTACGCGACAACACATTTTACATTTGCTACGGTATATAAAATTCGTTCCGTAATTAAGGTTTCTATACCCATGGTGGAATCAACCAGGTGAAGTAATTAGAGCAAGATAGAGAAAGATTTTGATACTGCCCTATTTGAAAATCTGTTGTAACGCTCTAAAAAGCCATCAATAGTTAAATACTTTATGTATATGGAGATTTTTTTTTTTAGTTTGTGGAACATACATACGTTTGATACCAAGCTGGTTTTCGGACATAGCATTGGTCAGCCTTAAATATTCCCTATAGGTTGTTTTAAACAGATATTAAATTTGGGAATTATAAGAAGGGGTGTCTTGGAATTGCGCTCCTAATTTGTTCTACTTCTATTTTTAACAATGGAAAAAGAACAGTAAAAAAATAACTATTCGCGAGATGGTCCATTTTCAATCAATTATAGTCTTATAGAACATTGACTATTTTTGGTCTGTCTTCTGTCTTGCATAACTACTGCCTTTGAAATTAGGGTGTATGCATTAGAGATGTGATGAAAACATGTGATTTTTTACGTTACACGTGGTGTCACGGTTTTTCTCGCGTGAGCGTGAGCGGTTTGGGAGAAAAATCACGTAACTTACGTGATCGTGCGTGAACGTGAACGAAAATGACTCACGCGCCCATCTCTAGTATGCATTTAAAAATAAAGATTTTCACTATCTCTTCCACTCATAATTATAACTACCGTTATCAGTAGTAGACTTCGAAGTAGGCATTTAAAAAAACTGAGACATTATGATTTTGTAAAACTTTGTTTGCTTAACCCACTTACATATGTATGTATGTTTCTTAACCAATTTTTGCACATTAGAGAATGCTCTTCGAGCTACCCAGCCACAGTTAAGATTAACAGCCATTTAATTTCAAAAGATTTGATTAGAATCTTTCAGTGAAAGCTACGCTGATCTCACAACAAAAATATTTATTTGTTTTTAATTAACAGCAAGCAATGCATACATCGGCAGAGAAGACATTGCTAATGTGAAGAACTACAAACAAACAAATACTTAAAACAATTACAACAATGTATTGCCATTTAAAAGATATTTGCTTGAGCGCATGCGCCTTTGTGCTTAAGCGTTTATGGTATTTTGTGTTCGCTTTTCCAAGTTTCCGTTCAAGTCTTTGTTTCTGCTGCTGGTGCTGCTACCGCAGCTCAACTTTTCAAATGCAAATGAGGCTACGCGTCGGCGCAAATGACAAACAGCAGCTGTGTCTGACATAATTTTATTTTTCATTGTCAGCGACATTGAGCGCGTCCGGCCGCTGTGCTTTACAGTTATGACATTTATTCAATCACACACAAGTTTTATTGCTTTTTTTTTTTTTTTTTTAATTCATTTTTTTGTAATTTTCTCCCGTCGTTTATATTTTAATGCAAATTTCTGTATTATTTTGCGTCGAAAAATCACAAAAAAGAATGATTGTCTTAAACTTCGTTCTAATTAGAAGCCGAACGCTTGCTTGTGCCAGTTCTGAGCAGCCAAGAATTTGCTTTGCGGATTAGCGGTAATTGAGTGGCAGCATGAACGTCTAGTGGGAACACCACTGACAACCAAAGCGCAACAACTTATTCAACTGTCAGCGGATGCTTAGCGCTGAGTTGCGATGTAAAGTGAGAAGAAGAACTGGGAAGAAGCGAACGGAATAGAAAGCGCTGAAGCTCCCACTTGGCTGTTGAAGAACATAAACATTGCCTCAAGTCTTGTTTTAACAAATTTTACTGTTGTAGTTGTTATTGTTATTGCTATTGTTTTGATTTGACTTTGTGACTCGGCTGTTTCCGTAAGCCATAAGTACATAAGCAGCTTAATTATGTGAAATCGTTTGACGCACCGAGACTTGACATGCAGCATTGCAACGGCCAGCTGTCACTTGAGTAATTTCACACATGCAGCTTAGGTGCGAGTACACATACTTAAACTCGCATATTTACACACATATTCAGCTAACAACGCCATCTAATAATTTTTTCTTTCTCTTTCGCAGACCTACTGGCAACTTGCGCAGCGACTTAACCGTCGGCGTCTTCAGCCCGCAACCATCAAACTCTCAACTCCACTGTCCCATCGGCTCGCCCAGCGCAGCAGTTTTGCCTAACCAAAGTCAAATGAGTGCAATGCCTACATCGCCTTCGACCGGCACCACAATGACCGCCAACTCAACGCCGCTCAATGCGCCAAATGGTTTGAGTTCCTCCAGTGGACGCATACAAAGCCCCGCGGTTGCCACGCCAGCGCAGCGCATTTCCAAGGAAGTGGCCCAGCGTTTGAATGGAGGCGTTGCTGTTGCCAGTAGCGCACCTACCGTGATTGTGGGTTCTCCAACAACACATCATAGTAATGCGCCCACCACTTCGATTAATATAAGAAATATCAGGAGTCCACCAGCAGCACCGACTAAGCCAACGCCACATCGCTCCATGGCAGCGCCTGCGCGACTCACTGTGCAAAGCACACCAGTCAAGTCGCAGCCGCCGATGTTGAGCGGTAATTTGCCACCGCAGCAGCCGCAACCACCACAGCCGGTGACAGCGCAACAGAAGTCATCAAGCGCGAGCGATAAACGCCCGCTACCGCTATCCTCTTTGGACTTGAGCAGCTGCAGTATTGGCATACCGACTGCAGAGTCAACCCCAGCGCATGGCGCAACTAGTGGCGGTGGCTATCAGCCCGGTGCGCATACAAAATCAACGAACACGACGACCAGCACACGCACACATCACCACGAATTCCGCGCGCTTCAGCGCGTGCAGGAGTGTCATAGCTCGTCGGATGAGAATCGATCATCGGGGCATGCCAGCATGTCCGATACAGGTGGTCATGGCAGTTCCTCGCCCGGCGGTGGTGTAGCGCTTGGCCCACTACCAGAAGATCGTCTCGCCGCTGGCGTCACCAATCGCAGCACGCGCTCGCGCGCAAGCACCAATCATTCGCGCGCACGCCATCGCGCTATACCTGCTTCCAAAGCACCATGGAGTGGTAGCGGACTGGAGGACATCAAATTGGCCATACAACAACTTACAATGCGCTCGCAGACGAGTACGAGCACGTATAGCAGCCTCAGCGCAGGATCAGAGAGTTCGGAACCCGCACGCCGCTTAGGTCGCTACTCTTCGCTGGAGACCGTAAACACAAATGTGACCAGTGCCGACGAGTTTGTATGGGTGGACTCACACAATCGCCTTGTAGAATTGCAGCATCCGCCCTGGAGTCAGCACTGCATTATGCGCGTCGTACGAAATGGCCGTTGCAAAGAGCAGGCGGAGCGTGTATCAGTCGAAACCATACCGCGCCTGGGTTATCTGCTGCAACGCGCGTTGGTGCGCATAGCGCGCGAAGTACAACGCCTCTCAGCCAGCCTGGGACTGTGCTCCAAACAAGAGGTGGCAGCAGCTTACAAAATCGTTCTATGTCCGGCATTGGCAGACTCTTGCATCAAGGCATGCTTGCGCGCAGCAGCGATGTTCGCTGTTACGGGCGACAGTGCGTTAAAGCAAAGCAAATCAGCGCGTGCTGGACTACAGTTACCCGTGGGACGCTTTCATCGTTGGATGGCCGACGCGCGACTCGGCAAGTTCATACATGAATACGGGGCGGTGTATCTCTGCGCTGGCATGGAAAATCTGCTTGAGGAGCTACTTCTGCAAAGTTTTCCCGTGGATCATTCAAACCAACTAACTACGACCGTGTTGGACCAATCTATTGCACATTCCGGTGATTTGTGGGGTCTACTGCAGCCATTCGCGCACCTGAATGCAGGGCGAGTGGCTTCCGGTGCACTTACAATGCCACGTTGGGCCAGTCTGTCATCCCTCGGCTCGGGTACCCAGAAGAGTGGAAGCTCTGGCGCCAACAGCAATGTGTCACTGGAGCCCTGTCTGCTCACGACCTGCGTTGGCAGCATAAGCGAACTAAAAGACTTGACACTGCGCGCTCAACAGAAGTTTCAGCACACCGCACTTTCCAATGCTGCGCTCTCTGCGCTGTTCTACTTCATGCGTTGCTCGCAACTAGAGCACAGCGATCTGAGCGGTGCACCATCGAGTGTCAGTGGTAGCGCTGGCGGCAGCAGCCAAAATGTGCAGGAGCTTTGCTACGAACGCGCATATGTGGTGCTACCGCCATTGGTCGAATGGCTACGTGTTGCCTCAGCGCACGCAGAGTACCGTCACGCGGTTATGATCGATAAGGATGATATCATGCAGGCGGCGCGCTTGCTTTTGCCTGGCGTTGATTGCCCCCTGAGGTCGATCGCTCACGACGAAGAGCTACCTACAAAGAAGACACACTTTTCACATCCTGGCGCTACTACACCCATTGCGTCGAGCATCAGCGAAGACACCACGGAGTTGGGCAAGCGCGCTACCATCACTCTGGCTTTTAAGCTCATGCTGACCGGACGTGCGGAGTTATTGGCTCAAGCAGCCAACTTGTTGCCGCCCACTACGCGTTATGATACGTTGAACCACGCTGGACTCACGGCGCTTATGATCGCTGCTATACGCAATGACGAGGTGGTCATACAATCGCTGCTTGATGCCGGCTGCGATCCAAATGTGGAGGTGCCACCAGTCGTGCAGACGAACTATCCAGGCATACATCCAGACACACAGCACTGGACAGCAGTGACATTCGCCGCGAGTCGCGCCAATTACCTAGCATTGCGTTTGCTCCTCGAGAGAGGCGGCAAAGTGGAAGGCGGGGCGCGCTTAAGCGAGGAGAAGCCAACGCTAACACCGCTGCAAGTAGCCTGCGGCTCTGGTAATGTTGAAATAATTTCACTTCTGCTGGCGCATGGCGCGAACGCCTTTCTCTCCACACAACAAAAGGACACTATGTGTTTCGCCGGCGGTTCGGCGCAGCGTGGCTCTTATTGTGCTATCTCTGTAGCAGCCGCGCATGGACAACGCGCTTGCTTGCGAAAGCTGCTCTCTCATCCAATGTCACCGGGGATCAAAGATGTACTTTCGCTCGAAGAAATGCTTGCCGAAGGAGAACCAGTCGGTAACGCCACGCGTGGTGGGGGAGCCGCCGGTGCTGGAAATGCGACCGGTGAACGCATAAGCGCTGATCTACCACTAACACTAAACAAGACGCAAATCAAGAGCCTGCAAGAGGCAATGTACCACAGCGCCGAGAACAATCATTTAGGTAAGTAGATATATAATTCACTCAATATGTGAGATCGGCTAACCAAACATCTTTCCATGCCAGATATAACAATAGAACTGCGCACCCTAGGCGTACCCTGGACGCTGCATTGCTGGATGCACGCCTTGGCGGCTGCGCATGAGCTGCGCTTGGATGCGGTAATCGACCAACTGCTACAAGACTTCCTACAGGTCTGTCCTGACGACTACAGCGCGCAGTTTGTGAGCGAGTGCCTGCCGCTGCTCTTCAATATCTTCCGCTACAGTAAGAACGAGGGCACAACCCTTCTGCTGGCCGACATCTTCGCCACCTGCTTCGGCTGGGAGACTATCAAACCCATAAAAGAGCCTGCGCTGCAGTCGGTGAACAGCTCACGTATCGACCCGAAATTTGTCAACAATCCAGAGTTGAGCGATGTGACTTTCAGGTGAGAAAAAAAAAACCAACGAATTTAGAAAAGGAATGCGCGCCTAATAATTTTCGTTTGTTTTCAGAGTGGAGGGCAAAATTTTCTATGGTCACAAGATAGTGCTCGTAACCGCATCGCCGCGTTTCCAGAGCATGCTCAGCTCCAAGCTGAGTGAGGGAAACATGCCCACGGTGCAAATCAATGACATACGCTACCACATATTCCAGTTGGTCATGCATTATCTGTACAGCGGTGGCTGTGCTACACTGGAGGTCAGCAACGCTGACGTTTTGGAGCTGATGGCGGCGGCGAGCTTCTTTCAGCTGGAGGGCCTCCTGCGCTACACCGAGTCACGCTGCTCTGAGATGATCGACATCGACAATGTGGTGGCCATGTACATACATGCGAAGGTAGGAGTGTATATTTATCTAAGCTGAGTTAAAATTTTATTTAACATTTGCTGTCGTAGGTTTACAACGCCAGCAAACTACTCGAGTACTGCCAGGGCTTCTTGTTGCAGAATATGGTCGCTCTTCTCACCTATGACGATTCGGTAAAGCGTTTGCTCTTCGCCAAAAAGATACCCAATCACGATGTGCTCTCAGGTCTGCTGCACACGCTACAACAACGCATCAAGCAACGCAAGCCTGTAGGTGTGGGCAATTTCCGCCAACAGCTAAGCTCGCCACCGCCCAGCAGTGGAGGCGCACATTTGTTGAGCAGCAGTATGGGCAACAGTGGCGGGGGTGGAAGTCTGGGCGCTGCTAAGAAGTAAAATTTGACGCATTGGGAATGTAAAATAGCGACATTTAAAGGCTTACAAATATTTAACGAAGTGAAAATATGTAGATTTAGTATTTTTGAAAAAAAAAAAACTGAAAAGTGAAAAATTAATTATATGCGGCGTAGTTACAGTTATACTTATATGAATATGGTATATAAAAATAATTATAAATGCTAGTACACATACTATTTTCATTATTTTTTATAAGCGGATTTCAAAATTTTCGAAAAAAAAGTTTGTTCTTCCACGAATACAATTCACCCCATCCGAAAAGCGATAGCTAAAACACACTATTTGCTTTCGATGCGCAACGAATACTAACATCTTTGAGTCTAAATTGTATTTATAAACAATTATGTTAACTGCTCAAAGCAATATATTCGTAAGCTTTTTATAGTCTTTAGTACTTGCGAAATTTTCAAATAGCCACCATCATTCCATGTACGAAGCTTTTGTTTGTAGTTTATAGCGAAATTTAGAAGCAATCTTGTATGTATGTATATTTAGTTTAATCCCAGTTTTATACTCTAAATAAATAAATTAAAGATATCAACAAAATTGTCTACTTCCTCACTGGATATGCTGTGAATGCTGAATGAAGCAATACACACCTACACCCACCTATTTTTTGAGCTAAAGTAAGCATCATAATACTTCCGCAAAGTGCACGGTACCATCACAGCACTTAACGATATCAATACAGTGAAACCCGCTTAAGTACCGCCACCCACCCACCCTCGCTTAAGTACCTAACCCGCTTAAGTAAACAACATTTTTGGGCCCCGTGAATATTTTAATGTTATCTGAAGAAAATCCCTCTTTTAAGTACCTCCCGCCTATTTACCCAACCCGCCTAATTACCTAAATTTTTCGTACCCCATTTAACATTTCGCTTCTAATTTTCCTCTTTTAAGTGCTCCCGCAACACGTTCGGCAAAAAAAATTAAAAAAAAACGGTAATTTTTAGCCACTTGAAAATTGCCCATTATTACACTAAACTTGAATGGGTATAAACATTTCTGAGAAAAAATTTGAAATTTTGATGAAAATTTGATGCATTTTTTTCAGTGTTCTAAAAAAATGCTAAGCTTAGATTTGTATGGTATTTATTTGTTAGGGAATGAACTGATTTTTAATTGGAAAAGTTTAAACATTAATAAATAAACATAGGTGGCAAACAACATCATTTTGAATTGGTTCCGAAATGATAGATACCTATGTCCAACACTGTATGTCCATATGTATAAATATGTATAATCAATGACTTTAAGGAATTGAATTCTTGTAAAAATTACATAAAATTTCTTTATCGATTTCTTTTTTAATTTTTGTTTATGTATTTGTGTGTTTAAATAATGTTACGCATAGTTTTAAACTACGTATACTTCATTAAATGTTCATGTTTTATTCAACAAGAAGCTTAACTACATCACTAACTATGTTCGCTTAAGGTACTCAACGGGTTCTTTTAAGTACCCATCCCGTCTAAGTACCTCAAAAAGCTGACATTATTCGTGAGGTACTTAAGTGGGTTTTACTGTACTCCGAAAACTCACGGCATTAAACGCAGCTGCTCTTGCGATAGGACTGTTTTTTAGGGTTAGACTTGAAAAGTATCCTCTAATAGCCGCTAAAATCATCCAACAAAGGGTATAGTTATCGCTAGCAAATCTTCTCTTTTCAGGGAATACGATGCAGGGGCGATCTTGTTACTACCGTACTTGACATGCTACCTGGGGTTGTGCGAGTCTATGCGAGTTTAAAAACAAATTGAACATAAATAAGCGAGACGACAATTGTCCATACATTTTAACATAAACTAAAATTTGTAGACAATAAGAAATAAAATAAACGCTGAGTTAACAACAAAACCTAAGTTAGTGCGAATACAAAAATGTTGTTGCTTGGTTGACCGCCAAATGTCGATTCTGCTGAGCGGCAGAGAAAAGCAAAGAATAATGGTCTAATTATGGCAACTTAACGTTACTTACGTCACTCTCTTAAAAATTCAGTTAAATGGGTATTGCTTATAATTGAACAGCCGAAACTTAACGTAACTTAATGCCACGTCGAAATCTGTTTAATGTTGGTTCTCTAAGTTCTACGTTCCGTTGAGTTAAGTTGCCATAATCAGGCTTTTACAGGCTAACCTAATATTCGCGGCTTGCGGTTAGGTACGCAATTTGTATTTTTGCGTCAACTGAAATTGGCTTGCGAGCGTTTGCATTTGATTTCAAATCAAAATGTCACGCAGAACAAAAATTGAAAATTGAATTGGCTTCATATGCACGCCTTTCAATTTCGGTTGTCTTACAACGTCAGAAAAAAATATCAAAAATCATCGGGATATTGCTGAAACTTGCACTTTTATTTAATGGACTACAAAACTGCAAACTTAGAATCTTTCTAAAAATTCTGAATTAAATGCTTGTTGTTGCGAAAACTTACTTTTTCCTACTGCGTACTCACAATAGAATTCAGCGGTTTGTAAATATTTCTCACTGCCCTTATTTTAATTTTTTAGGGGCTTTTAATTTTCACTATTTCTATTTTTTTTTTTGTATTTTATGATTGTGCCAAAACAGGATGAATTGTGCCAAAAGTGCCTCTGTGAATGAAAGTGCCAAAACTAGCACTATTGTGCCTACTTTTCCATCACTGATATGAACACACGATCACACGATATCTACACTGTAGGTTTGTTGTTGTGCGTTAGAACTAAATTGCGATAAACGTGAGCGCAATTGTCGGTGTCCGTTTTATAGTTCATCCTTTTGTGATTAGGGGTGTTCATAATATGTAGCATCTCTAAAACATAGCGTTTATTATAGATTTTCTCTTCTTGCAAGATTGCTACTTTATCAAGGTCGGGATAATGTCCCGTATCCTGGCAATGAGATGACAAGGCTGTCTTATTGTCCGCCGAATTATTCCTCAACTTAATGTTTGATTTGTGAGCGGAAATCCTTGTCTTTAATTTCGATTTTGTTGTCCCCACATATACCATATCGTATACGTGGGACGGGTTGCCACTACATGCAATTCTATAAGTGACATCAGAATTATTGGAATTTTATCTTTGGTATTGGAGTAAATTTGTTTCAACGTATTGTCATAAGCAAACGCTATGCGGAAATTGTCCTTGTCATATATTTTTGAGTATTTAATTCTCTCAGATAATCCTGGTACATATGTTGCCGATTTACAAATTTTTTTGTTCCCGTCACTGTTTGATTTTTCTTTACCGGTCTGGACAGAAAAGTCGCGGATAAGCTTATTAATTGAGCAATGTGGAAATTCATTTTTCCGCAGGATATCTTTGATAGTGGCAATGTGTTTCTTATAATAATTTTCATCACTTATCGTGAGAACTCTTGTTATAAAATTTTTGGCGGTATTCCGAATTATTTTCTTCTCATGTTTCGAGTTAAAATGAATGAGCCTCCCTGATGCTGTCGGTTTCTTGTACCAGTCAATTGTTAATGTGTTACTTTTCCTTATTATTAGGGTGTCCAGGTAGGGTAATTGTCCTTATTTTTCCTATTTCTAATGTAAATTTTATTTTCTTGTTGCAATTGTTTAGTGTGTTAAGCATTTGTCAATATTTTCTGTTTTAGCAATTGCAAATATGTCATCGACATATTTTATTTATTTATTTTTATTTATTTAGCGGGGGAACCCATAGGCATTCCTGACTTTTGCTCGTAGATCTTGTCGTTATATTTTAAATAGCGATTCTCTTTAATACAAAATTTCAATATGGTTAAGAAAAGGTCTTTGGTTAGAGATGAATGTTCTTGTATTGAACTCCACTTGGAATCCATTATCTCTATGGCTAAATCCACGGGTATGCTTGGAAAAAAATGTAATTCAATCAACTGCTAAAACAGCAAAAATATTTTTATACCCGAGCGCACTTGTGCACAAGGGTATTATAACTTTGTCCACATAACGGTTGTTTGTAACTGGCAAAACGAATCGAGATAGATAAGGACAAATGTATACATAAATGATCAGAATGAAAAAAGAAATCGATTAAGCGGTGACTGTCTGTCCGTCCATCCGTCTGTCCGTCTGTGCACACTATAACTCGAGTAAAAATTTAGATATCTCACCGAAACTTGGTATGTGTACTTCTTTTTACCGTAGGACGAAAATTGGCAAAGTCGGACAATAACAACGCCTACCTCCCATATAACGGTAGTTTTCAGAAATACGAAAACTGCGAGATTTTAGTAAATACTGAAGATTATTCACTCAAAATTTATACATGCTTGCAATGATTTTTAGACAAAAAATAAGAATATAATGCATTTTTGGAAAATGGGCGTAGCCACGCCTACTTATAATTACATGTGTATATTTCGGTAACGGCTCAACCAATTTCTCCCAAACTTGGCTCGGTTGTTGGCCTTGGTGCAGTATATCAAACTCCTGAAAATTTTTAAAATCCAACAATAACCACGCCCACATTCCATGTAACGGTTATTTTGAGATATACGAAATCTTCAATAAATCAGTAAATACTGAAATACTACGTTCATCAAAAAAATTTGAAAAATGGGCGGGGCACCGCCCACTTATGACAACATATGTGTATCTCGGTAACCGTTTGATCAATTTGTAACAAACTCGGTATGATTTTCGGGCTTGCCAAGTGAAAACCAAACGCTGAGATATATTGGAGTAAAATTACGCCAACTTTTTATACAACGGTAAATTTCAGAAATGCGAGAAATTTCGATATTTCGAAATTTAAGGACGAATTTACACAAAATTGATACTAACAACAATCCCTTGAAAAGAAGTAACATCATTATGGAATTTTGGAAATGGTCGTAATACCGCCCATATATAACTATAAAAGTTTATCGAAGATATTTGAAATAGGGGTAAAACCATCCCTGCTTACCATGTAACGGTAGTTTTCGGAACGGTAAAAACAACTATTTTTGTTAATACTTGCGCCGGGTATCTAAAGTTCCGAACTTATAATTTTTTACTTGTTTCTTTTAATGCTATACAGAGCTCGGGGCAATGCAACATATACCAAAAAATTTTCATCAAAATTTCAAATGTTTCTTAGAATAAATTTAAGTTTCTTTGTAATTTTAAGTATAATAAAGTGCAAGTTTCAAGTCGCTAAAAAATAAAGTTGATTTTTGAGAACTTTCTTTGTCGAGGGTGTTGCGCATAAGCAAAATCTACATATTTTTATATGAAATAAAAAATCGCAACGCCCGCGTCAAGAAAAAAATTCTCAAAAATCAACGGTAATTTTGAGAGATTTTAAACTTGCACTTTATAACACCAAAATTTGATGCACTTGTAGCATTTTTTTAAGAAATCCAATGAAAAAAATTTGGGGTTTTTGCTGTTGAAAGAGCTTTTTTTTATAAAAAAAAATAAGTAAAATTTGGTATGGAAAATACGTGGGACGTTTCAAAAGTTCTGGGAATACAGCTATAATTTATATTTTTATTGGGCTTTGTACCACAATAAAAATATTAAAAATAAATGTTAATAAGCCACAATAACATTGACAAATATATAATTTTTATAATTTTGTTAATTTT